TCCTTTGATCTGTCTACAACCGTCATAGATGTCTATATTTTAGCCCATGTACATGTACATAATGGTATTACTCCTCCAAGGGAGCATACCATTATGACTCGTCTTGTTTTACTTGTCTGTTGGAACAGACTGCATGTCATACAGCAAGGTTTGTTAACAACTGTTGATGACATGGCAACATGGTATTCTCAAATGTGCATTGCCTCTTAAGTGTTGATAAGTTGAATAAATTATCGCATGACTAAGTTCAGCCTTGGCATAAAATATTTGAAGAGGCATGGGCTGTACCTACAAAATAAACTGAATAAATATTGTTGGTAGCGTTCGACTCTCCTATTAAACCTCACATAATGTTTATTTTATTTATTTTTTTAAATGTAGCCCAGATAAGTTGACTCAAATTAACTTTTGCACCTAACAGAGGAATCTGCAAAGGGAAGTCAGAAAATAATATTTATTTTTTACCATCTTTCACAGCTCTTCCGGCATGCTCCAATCAATCATTTGGTTCTGCCTCTGTTTTAGATCTTACTTCTTGTTAAAGGAGATTTGTGCCCAGGGTGAGGAATGGCTACAAAGTTATTTATTCAATGCAGCAAGCTTGCCTTGCTGGGTTTGATAGTTACAGGGACAATTAGCAGTGCTGCAGCCATCAACAACTTTGCTTATAGATGTTGGAGCTTGGCCTGTTTTTCAGTGTAGTCCTGTTTCTCTGACTGCAACTGGATGGATGTGATCTTTCATTCTCTGTCATGGAAGCTGGCTCGGAGCTCGTCTGCCTTGCTGTGTGTTTCCTGGACGGGGCCGCCTGTGGAGCTGATTGAAAGTTGCCTTTTGTATCTATGCTTCTTTTTCTACCTCTGCTTCTGTCATTGGTTTTCCTCAGATGGAAAATCTGACTGTGTGATCTGGTTGAATTGTCTCTGTAAAATTCCTTGACATGACATGTGTTGTGAATTGACGGTATACAAATAAAAAAGAATTGAATGTAATAAACTCAACATCCATCAATCCACCCATCCTGTATGGGTGGTCAGTCAATTGCAGGGCAACACAAAGACACATAACCATGCACAGAAAAAATACACTCATATGTTACAAACTGTTATAAAGATATTAAAAGAACAATTTTTTCGAGTATTTTACTTTTTACACNATGTTACAAACTGTTATAAAGATATTAAAAGAACAATTTTTTCGAGTATTTTACTTTTTACACTACGACTTAGAATTATGGGTAATAAAGAAAGTAGATTAAAACCATAACCGTTATGTACAATGTGTTAGCGACAATGGATACCGAAAAGAGGTACCTGAACGGATTCCAGAAAAGCAAAAGCAAAGACGAGCTGCTGGAAGAATGGAAAAAACTTCCCAAAATAAATATGTTCTGCAAAGAACCAAAGAGGGTGAAGTGGACGTTGCTGCTACAGTGAGTAAAGATTGCGACCAGTAGGTGAATAGGAGAGCGCAAGTGAGGAGGGGGGCTGTGAAGCTCAAGGTAGCCCAATAAGACAAATTTTACAGCGTAATATACTAAAGTATAAGTATATCCATGTAGTGAAGGTAAAAAATGATGAAATGATGAAGTGTGTATGTATGTGGCACGTTTCTGATCGGTTGTCTACGGCAGCAGCGGCGTCGGGTGAAGGGGGTGGTGGTGTGGGGGAGGGGGGTGGTGGGACGAGGTGTTGTTCTTCATATGGGGCCAACACAGATAATGTTGCTTACGGGCCTATTGTTGTGTCGTTACGCCATTGGATATAACATTCACCATGTCTCCACCACCAGCTGGCAAACCTCCTCCTCTCACCGTTGCAGAGCCTCTCCTGCCCTCAGGCCGCCGTTGGCCCATCCTGTCTCCTGAGTTGTCAAATTCATCATTTACACTCAGAGCCCATGGCGGAGGCTGACTTAACTGATTTTCTCTCAGTCAGCTGCATGTTGCGACACACATTAAGTGATAGTCACACAGAAACAAAACAAAACTGATATATAAACACAAGCAGACGTGGTAATTACTTCAGTCTTGTTTGTTTCAGTCTCCACCTCTTGTTTGCTTGCCGATATCTTTATGCTCTCAGACAACTTACACCAAAGTGAGAGGTTGAGGAGAGATTACAGCTGAGAAGTATTCCACACCCCTCACTGTAGAAATAGTTCCTTGAAAGTGAATATTTTTATGCTAGGTATTTTCATTGAGAAATCAAAGTGAAATAGAAGGCAGCATATTTGTTAGATAAAACATCCCTAGTTTCTATATATATATATATATATATATATATATATATATATATATATATATATATATATATATATATATATATATATATGCAAACTGTTGGCTTAATATTTTTCTCCACTCTTGGTTTATTTACAAAGTGCATCTTTGGGCTCCTTGAAAAATCTTTGTTATGTAATACCCTCTAACCTTAGTATGTTTTGTTGGGATTTAACATGATAGCCCAAGACTTAGCTTACAAGAGTGGAGTGAGGACACAGCTGTTAAAGGTTTAACAAATAAAACTCTAAAGATTATTCGCTGCATTTGTATTCAGCACCCGCTACTCTGCTAGTCCTAAGTGATTTCTAATGCAACCATTTGCCATCTGAAATCTCCCCAGTGAAACATTGTGGTGGCAGTATTGTGCTGTAGATATTCTTTTTTGCAGCCATTCAGGAAAGTTGGACACAGTTGGTTAGGCAGCTGGAGTTAAATTCTGGGGAACCTGGATGAAAACCTCTTGGAGAAAGCTAAAGAACGAAGACTTGAGAATGGTAACCATAACGATGATAAACCTACAACATACAGACACAGCTACACTGGAAGTGTTTAGAACAAGGCAAAACAATACGGTTCCTTGTCCTTGACCAGAGTCTGTAACCAGATGATGCATTCCATTTGTACTCAGACATTTGAATTTCCGACTTCTGAGTAAATCAACTAATGCGCCTGAAAGTCAGAATTAAGAGTTAGAAAGTCAGAGCGAGACCATACCCCCTAACTTGCATCAGTAGTGGTAAAGTTTTCATGTTTTCACAGTTTTTTATGAGTTTTATCTTATTTATATGAGATTGAATCATTTATGCACATGATACCTTCCACTGTTTATGAGGCAAGATGTTTTAGAGGTGTATACTTGCACAAATGGGGGCAGAACAGTGTTTTTGTCCGTGTTGTAGGAGTGAAATAAACAATAAAGGCGATTTAAAGATTTACTTGCAGTAACAAATTTTACTGAGATAGTCTAAATAGAAATGTACTGCAAACAACAATTTTTTTTTTAAATTTCTTTTATTGTGTCCCCTTCACAACTTTTTTTTTTTTCTTAGCTTTTGTTAGTATCAACTGAAATTGAGAACCACAAATCTGTACTTGACAGGCCTTGGTGATGATTGATCTAATGTTGATCTAATTCTGCTGTTTACATTGAGGACAGTGGCAGTCCTAATGCTGAGGTTTACTGTAAACCTAAACATACAAACCAATGTATTTTGACTCACATAATTCACTGAAACGCAAAAATCTTATTACGGTATTAGAACTCTTAGTTACTTGGCTGAAATTATGGCCATAATTGTAGAGACGAAATAAAAAGAACATGAGCATGTCAACTAATCACTTGAAGCACATGGTGATCTATCTGGGTGATTGCTAAGTCTCCGAAAAGAACTAGCAGGATGAATAATACTGAAAAATAAGTCGCATACCAGCAACAAGAAGACAACAGACAATCAAAGTAAAGTAAAAAAAAAAAAGCATCAAGAGCAGCAGTTATCCTTTATGTGTGTCCGAATCAGAAGCTACAGTGATTCTACAATATTATTCAGGGTGGTATACTGTATATCTGTATCTGCAGCTTAGTATTTAGTATTGCTGTGTATCCGTTAACACCTGGAACCAAACTCCTGTGGTTTCTATGCATGGTCATGATCATGCATAAAGGATTTGTAAAGCTCCTTGGGAAGGAAAACATGATTAACAGCAGGTGTGGGCAGCCCCAGACACCCTAAAGGGCCCAGGACCGATGAAGAGGCGATCCCTGAGGCAGTCAAAAGGTCCATTGTTCCACAGTTTAGGTGTTTACCGACTATAACCCTCTGGTATTGCTTAGGGCTTCGGGCATGTGGTGGGCGGTATGTGGGCTAGGTACAGTATTAGAGACACTCTGTACATTCCTGCCTATAGTCTGTCACCTTTTTGATAGGCTAGGAAGGTCTTTTTATTTGTTTAGCTTTAAGTGGTTTTAATTTTTTCAATGTTTATTTTATTTGTTTGCCACAACCATCTGTCCCTTCCTCCCCCACAGGTTAAAATAAACATAATTTAAATCATTTTGAATTGTGCTATATTCATTCCTTGGTTGTTGGTGTTTTACACCACTTTAGGGTTTGTAACAACACTCATTAATATTTAATTGTCCCGACACATAACGCATACCCAACCAAGGAAAATTCAAAAACCCAGAAGAAAGATTTTGGACTTTGCATCATTGTTTTACTGACAATCTGTTAAAGAGATAATTGTCCCTTTTTAAAACAATGTTAACAGCTATTTTTGTTTATAACTGGTCTGTTCCTTTAATATAAAAATGCTTCCAGTTTATTCAATTCATTTTAAGATTTACAGTTAGATCAGCATATTAAATCCAAGAAAATCAAGCTGTACAATTATTTTTTTAATTTAAAAAATGATTATCTGATTCATTTCATCAGCTTGTATACAAATAAAGACATTTACGGCATGGTTGAATGGGCCATTTACTTGTAGCTACAGATTAAATTGTTATCTGAAGGAAAAACGCAGCAGATTTCCCACAAATTCTTCAAGGCCCAAATCATAAGAGTAATTTCAATGGCTTTGTCACGTAGCCATTATGAAATAACTAACTTTAGTTCACATTGACCTATCACAGTTCTATTCTAAAATAAAATAAAAGGAAATATATAAAGTCTCTTTTGTGTATTTAAAATTCTCCTGCCTTTGTGTTTGTCTTCAGGTGTAGCAAGATGCTTGGTGGATTGTCTTTGAATGGACTGAAGTTCTTGCTGGCCCTGATAATTCTCCAAGTGGCAGGTTCAGGTGAGTGCTTATTTCCTAGGTTTGAAATGGCGTTTACATTTTCAGGTTTGTGTTTTGTATCTTGCCAATAACTGAGCTGTCCAAATTTGAACACATGTACCAAATCTTTCAGCAAATTGTGTTCATGTTAAGGGTGAAAAGCTGAACGGCTAGGTGTCCAAAATGTCACTGCTGTTCTTCCTGGATTCTCTATTTGCCTGGAGATTCAGTAGAGGGACCAAGCCTTGAATGGTGTTCTTCTGAGTAATAAAAGAAAACTATTCAAATATTGACAAATCTGTGTGAATCAACATTTCCTATGACAACCAAAGTGGTAAACTGTTTAAACCCTATTTTGTCAAGGTCAAAGTTTTTCTCCCGCCTTATAACTGCAACGCATCCCCAACTTGTAAGAGATTTGGAGTCTTAGTTTTGCTTCAGAGAGCTTAGCCTGCTGCTCCTATGTGTAAATAATTAGTGTAAAAAATAGATTGTAGCAGCATACAACCCAAAGCAGCGATGCAGTCATCATTTGAGGACCTTATTGCCAAAATAAGCTTAGAGTAAAAGCTCCAAGATAAAAAAAAATGATGCATGGATTAAAAAAAAGATGCGCAGTAGAATTTCCAGATATGTAGAAACCCAAATAGTATATTATATTTTGTGATGATTTTGGTTTTTAGGCAAGGTTGTTTTTATCTCAATAATATATCACACTATTATTGTCTTAACAAGTAGAACAATTATTTGTAATGTTAGTTAAAAATATTTTAATGTAAAACATGAAAGACCCCTGAAAACCTAAGCATTCTTTCACTACAATATAGAGCATATTGCTTTATACTTGGCCTATTAAATGTCCCTATTTCCACTTAAATGTATGGTTTGAATTAAAAGAAAAGCAATTACAATCAGTTATGGATAATCCGTGGTTATTTTCAGACGATTTCTAAATCTCAGTCTTACTTATATTTCTGGATCCAAAGCACATCTAATAATACAGATGTACTTGAAAGTTTCCATACAGTCACAATAAATAAAATGATTAATTCACAATACAAAAATGAATCTAAAATAATCAAAAATAGAAAAACCACTGTCCCAGGCAAATTAAAGTACCTTGCTGTTGAACTGTTAACCAACAAACCTGTCAATGTAGAAATCTCACTGAACATTTCCCGAATGTTACAGAAAACAGCTGAGTTCAGTGATTATTGCCTCAAAGTGTTGCTAGAAAAAATTAAGTTCAGAAAAACTGAAAAAGAAAAGATGAAATATCACATGGTCATAGGTATTCAGACCCTTTGCTCAGTTTTGAGTAGAAGCACCCTTTTGAGATAGTACAGCCATTAGTCTTCTTGGGAATGACGCAACAATTTTTTCCCACCTGGATTTGGGATCCTCTTCCCTGTAGATCCTCTCCAGGTCTGTCAGGTTGGATGGTGAGCATTGGTGGAAAGCCATTTTCAGGTCTCTCAAGAGATGCTCAGTTCAGGGCTCTGGCTGGACCAGTCAGGAATGGATATAGAGTGGTTCACAATCCATTCCTTTGTTATCTTAGCTGTGTGCTTAGGGTCATTGTCTTGTTGGAAGGTGAACCTTCAGCCCAGTGTGAGGTCCTAAGCTCTCTGGAAAAGGTTTTCCTCCAGGATATCTCTGTACTTGGCTGCATTCATCTTTCCTTCAATTGCAACCAGTCGTCCTGCAGTTGAAAAACACCCCCATAGCATGATTCTGCCACCACAATGTTTCACTTTTGGGATTGTATTTGGGTGGTGATGAGCAGTGCCTGTTTTTTTTTACACACATACCGCTTAGATTTAAGGCCAAAAGATCAATCTTGGTCTCATCAGACCAGAGAATCTGCTTTCTCACAGTCTGGGAGTCCTTCATGTGTGTTTTGGCAAACTCTATGCAGGCTTTCACATGTCTTGCACTGAGGAGAGGCTTACACCAGGCCACTATGCCATAAAGCCAAGACTGGTGGAGGGCTGCAGTGATAATTGACTTTTTAGAACTTTCTCCCATCTCCCTACTGCATCTCTGGAGCTCAGTCACAGTGATGTTTGGGTTCTTCTTTACCTCTCTCACCAAGGCTCTTCTCCCATGATTACTCAGTTTGGCTGGACTAAGGAAGAGTTCTCATCATCCCAAACTTTTTCCATTTAAGGACTATGGAGGCAACTGTGCTCTTAGGAACCTTGAGGGCTGCAGCAA